AGTTGTCACGATCGCCACTGGCAGAGGAAGCTTCACTTCCTTCTCTCAGAGCATTTTTTGTGCTCCTGAGGGTGTCATCACCCTTGGTTCCTTCAAGCACCATGTCTGAATTACCTTAGGTAATCCCACACTTGCCGAGGTGTTTGCAATGTGTCCTCCCCCTAGAAAGGTGAGTCGTGCACATCGAGCCAATCCTACTGCAGTGGCTCACGTCGTGCCAGTACTTTCCGTGAGGAAGAGGGCAGGGCCTCATTGTGATTGTGACACGCCACGACACCAGTCTATCTTTTCTCGATTGTCTGGTCATCATTCCATGTTCTCAATAAATGGCTGGTGAGCTAATGAGCCAGCTTGATCTCCTTAGCTCGACTCGTTGGTTAAGAGATTAAGTATTTTAACTACAAATCATTAAAAATATTTAAAAACTATATTAAACTTTCTTATATCAATAATTATTATTATTTGACCCCTAATTATTTTTATTTTATTTCATCATATTTTCTGTTTTCATAAAAAATATTTTCTCTTTAATATATGAGCAGCCTATGATTAGAATTAAAACTCATAAAATTAAATTTGAGCCAGACTTTAAATCTCAAAGACAAATTCTACTCCACTAGTTTACGAAAAAATATTACATCAGGATTCCGCAAGTAGAGTTACGTACGGAGTCCAATGAAATCACGTCACATGAAAATATTCCCGATAACACAGGTAACACAGGAGAATATTCCCACCCGTGTTATTTATGTGTTATTGCATGTTATTCATGTTATTGTGTTCTGAGAATATTTCTAGTGTTATAATAACACATTAACACATCAATAACACTTGAATAACACATACTAACACCTGAATAATACGTGAAGAATATTCTTCTGTATTATCTGTGTTACTGAGAATATTTTTCTATGACGTTATTTGATTGAACTCTACACGTAAATTAACGTGAGATTTAAGTGAGAAGGTTTAATGTAATATTTATTCTAGTTTACACCCCAAGGACTGACTCCGATGAAATGAAATGAGGAGAGAGACCCCATCTGACTCGCAGAGTCCGGTTCTTGAATGATTCCAAACCGTTTAATCTCCCTTTCGTCTTCGAAAGCTCAGCCCTTTCTTACCCACAAATCGTTGTCCTCTTCTTCCACCTCTCCTCACTCCCATATCCTCTCTCTTCTGAAATCAAGCTCTCAGCCCTGCCATCTCAAGCAACTCCACGCCAAGTTCATCACCCAAGGCCTGCAATGTTCTCCCTCCATCCTAACTGCCGCCACTTTATCCTACATCTCCCTCAGCTTCCTCGACTCTGCACTTCTCCTCTTCCGCTCCATCCCAAAGCCATGCCCACTGCTCCTCCTCCGATCCATCCCAAAGCCATGCCCTTTTCTCTGGAATATGATGATCCGGTCGTCCGCTACTCACGCCCAGTTCCACCTCTCGCTTCTCCTGTACTCCAATCTTCTCTCTTCCCCCCTCTCTCCTGACAACTTCACCTTCCCTTTTGCTCTCAAGTCCTGCGCAGGCCTGAACAATCTCGAGCAGGGAAGACAGCTCCACCAACACTCCATTTGCTTTGGATGTCATGAAGATCCATTTGTGGACGCTGCTCTGGTGGATATGTATAGCAAATGCGGCGATGTAAACACCGCACGCCAAGTGTTCGACAGAATGCCGAAGAGAGACCTTGTTTCCTACACCTCCATGATCTCTGGCTATGCTCACAACGGACACAGCATTGAGGCTTTGGATTTCTTTAAATACATGAAGAACTCAAACGTGAATGCCAATCGAGTCGGATTGTTGAGTGTTTTTCTTGCTTGCGGACGACTTGGGGCTCTCAGAAAGGGGGAATGCTTCCATAGCTATGCGCTTCAGACTGGTTTTCTGGAAGACATTTTAGTGCTAACTTCAGTTCTAGACATGTATGCTAAATGTGGGAGTTTAGATACAGCAAGGTTGATTTTTTACACTGCAGAAGGTAAAGATATGGTGTGCTGGAGCGCCATGATTGCTAATTATGGATACCATGGTCTTGGAAAAGAGGCAATCAATACATTCAATCAAATGGTGGAAGTCGGTTTGAAACCCAATCATGCCACTTTCACCAGCCTTCTTTCTGCTTGTAGCCATTCAGGTTTGTTAGAAGAAGGCAAGAGCTGCTTCACTTCTATGAGCATGAAATATGGGATTTCACCTAAGCTGAACCACTATGCATGCATGGTTGACATCTTCGGCCGAGCCGGGAAGTTGCAGGAAGCTCAAGAGCTTATAGAGCAAATGCCAATGGAGCCTGATTCTAGCTTGTGGGGTTCTTTACTTGGTGCGTGCAGGATTCATGGAGACTTGGAGCTGGGAGAGAAAGTTGCAGATAGAATAATGGAGCTGGATCCAGAGAATCCTGGCTACTATGTTCTTTTATCAAATATTTATGCTGCTAGAGCCAGATGGACTGACGTTGAGAGACTGAGGAAGAAGATGTCAGGAAGAATGGTGATTAAGGATCAGGGAATTAGTTTGATTGAGTTCAACAACCAAATACACAAATTTGGAATAGGAGAGAGGTCGCATAGCCAGTCAAGAGAGATATACTCATATTTAGAGAAATTATCTATGTTGATGAGGCAATTGGGCTATGTTCCGTTGGGGGAATTCTCACTTCATGATGTAGAAGATGAGAACAAGGAAATGGCTCTGTTTTATCACAGCGAAAGGCTCGCTATTGCGTTTGGTTTGATGAACATGAATTCTGGAACTACTATTCGGATTGTGAAGAATCTAAGAGTTTGTAGAGATTGTCATAATGCTATAAAGATTATTTCAAAAATAGTGAACCGTTTGATTATTGTCAGGGATATGAATCGTTTTCATCACTTTGAGAATGGTCTGTGTTCTTGTGGTGATTATTGGTAAGAGAATTAAGCTTTTTATTTTTATTGGAGTGCTGTAATGAACTCTCTCCCCTCTTTTGTAATAGTTAAACCGCACATGCTCCAGATATTGGTAAATCACTCTGTTTACTGAAGAATTGGTTAGAAATAAAATAAAAATTTTCAAAATTGCCGAATTCGAGCCATAAACAAATAAATAAATAAATAAATAATTCAGATGTCGTATTTTACATTCTATATTTTATATTGTTAAGTAGAAATAAATAAGTTGAATTCAATTAAGTAATAAAAAAGATAAATTAACAGCACATTTTTATTTGATATTGAATAGTGGCCAGTTTAAAAAAATCTAAATATATATAATATTGAAGTTTTAAACTTGTGTGCTCTTAAATTTGTGGCAGTAGAGTGATATACGAACGTCTTAGTATTGTAGTTGCAGAATTTAATGGATCCTTAAATAGTCAAAAACAACATTAGACAAGTGGGATTCAAATTTTGCTAGAGAAATGGCAGAGGCAGAGAAATTTTGATAGTAGGGATGGTGTATCAGAAAATATGCTCCCAGTATCTTTGGTAGCGACGGCCAAACGGCGATGGTCGGGAAGTGACAATGGTGTTCGTGGTCCGACAATTGCGACGGCTGGGCAATGATGGTGATGGTCTGTCGGCGATGGTCTTGCAGTAGTGAAGCTTAGAAATCCTCAAGTGCTTGGAGCTCCTTTAGCTTTCTCCTCCATGTCCAGGTCCCAAGTCCTTCTTCATGAAGAGAGTAAAGGTTTATTTATAGATTTTGTGAGTGATATTCTCTGTAAATATGACATGAATTCGGACAACTCCATTGGATGGCCCAGAGCAATCTCTTTAATGGATAATATTCTATGAGCATTTGAGTGCCTTACTGAGCAATCTTAAGCTCGTTGGACTCGGCTCGTTGAAACGTTCAATTTTGGCTTCATGGGGCTTTCCTTTTTGACACCGTCCGGTTTACTAT